AATAAAACTAAAATTGATAATCATAACATAAACTTGTATGGGTAATTTGGGAGTACTTACTTAAGCTCGGTTGGTCACACGCACCACACCCTTTTTCTCGTTTTCAAAACTCTTTTCTTTTCAATCTCTTTCTCAAAATTCTTTTGAAAATATTTTTCTTTCAAAAATCTTTTTACTATTTCCTTAGTTTGAGTTCAGTCACACCCGTAAGTGTGCCTGAATCCCTCAATCCAAGGCTTTGATACCAACTTGTGACAACCCAAAATATGACCCAAAATTTTTTGTTTAAATAATACTAAAACCATAACATAGAATGCCATAAAATAGAAATCATATATCAATATCTCAAAACCATAATAACGTGTCGTGATAAAAACTGTATCAACTGTGTCAAATCATATCTAGGAAAAACTAAACCCACTCCCAGGATAAAATTGAAGCTATGGTGTGTGCGATGCCATCATCCCGAGCCTTTCCCTTTGCTTGCGGAAGTACCTGAAACCAAAACTGAAATTGTAAGCACAAAGCATAGTGAGCTCCCCCAGACTACCAGATACATACAATCATATAAACACATATTAGGCCTTGCCTATTGCATCGGACCGAACTCCGAAAACTACATCGAACCAAAGTATGGAACTAACCAGGGCCCTACCCTCTGCATCGGCCCGAAGTCCGGAAATTGCATCGGACCGAAGTCCGGAACTAACTGCATCGGATCGAAATCCGGAAACTGACTGGGACCTTGTCCCCTGCATCAGACCGAAGTCTGGAAACTGACTGAGCAATACATAGCATAGGATAAACATATCAAATAGCATAAACACATATACTGCGCACAACATCAGACCGAATTCCTGAACACATAACACAAAGATGTGCTTAAATCACAAAGACATCAAGCACACTGAACTACTGCATCAGACCTAAGTCCAGAACTGACTGCTAACTAGACGGGCCAACATTGTGGCCGTAGACCCGTTCCTACTAGAAGGAAAACTTACCTCGAAATTTGGCTGCTGAAACTCTACCCGGGTACTGTTTGCTGTTGCTCCGGTCACTCCCGACTACAATTCCCATAAACACACTCAATCAACTACTGATAACCAAACTGAGGGTAAAATGACTATTTTAACCCTGGTCAAATTCAACTTCGAGTCGACCGGACTCGCCGAGTCAGGGTGCAGACTTGCCGAGTCCCTCCTTTACTAATTCTGACTTTAACTCTTCGATCCCCTTTCCCACTCATTGATTCACTCTTAACTCACAACTCGAAGAGAAAATGGGGACTCGCGACTCGACTCATCGAGTCTGAAGAACAACTCGAGGAGTCAAAACGTAGATTCGATGCAATCGAATTCTAATCCATTCCAGGGCTTCTAACTCGTAGATTTGAGCTCTTGGGAGCATCTGAACAAGTAAATTTGCTGACTTTACGTGTAACTACGAAGGAATGATGTCATTTCACTCAACACTACTTTTCTAGGGAAAAACTCATCCAAGTCACCGAGTTATAGAATAACCCATCGAGTCTAAGGCAATCTTCATCGGACTTGCCGAGTTGCTCATCCAAGTTGTTGAGTCCAAGGCTATCTTCATATGACTCACCGAGTCCATTCAGTCCCTTTTCCATACATGCCTGATTTGAGCCATGTAGTGGCTCTAATTCACAGATGGATGCTTCTAGGGCATGCTTATCACGTAAAGTTGCAAACTTTATGTGCATGCATGGATTTAAAGGCTTCAAAGGCCAACCCTAAGCTCTTAATGGGGTTCCAAGCTCAACAGGGACTTCAATCACGACCTTAACTGAAACTTTATACTTCTAGAATGTAATAAGAGTCCAGATCTGAAGTTTTCATCCATGGAGAGTCCATATCTCAAGTTTTGAATCATAAAAGGTTCCAAAGAAAGCATAACAAGCATAAAGGAGGTTATAATGGAGGAATGCACAAGGCCATAACTTGATTACCTGGATGAAGAACAAATGTAAACTAACTCCTGGATCTTCCTTCCCTTTAATGGACCTTCTTTCCTTTCCAAAGCTTCCAAGATATCACAAACACACTCAAACTCAACAATGGGGATAAGGTTAACAGGGGGAATGTTCTGAGAGTGATAGAGGCGAGGTTGAGGGCAGATAATTGTGTTTAAATTGGGCGCAAACCCTTAAAATTAGGGTTTCATCCAGACAAACGGACTTGCCGAGTGCAGAGTATGGACTCGTCAAGTAGCCAGCTTAAATGCATGATGCTCTCGTCTCTACTCGACGAGTCAGGCTACAGACTCGTCGAGTACCCCTTCGGAAAAGAAAATACTTTGTTTGAATTACATACCAGAAATGGGGCATTACATAATCAACTGAGCTAGCAGATCACATAACATAGCAACTTCCTAACCAGGATACCGATCTAACCATTCACTAACATAGCATCATCCTATATACCAGGATACCGACCTTAACCAAGTCTCTAACATATACCATCCTAACTACTAGGATGTAGACATAAGAAAGCAATAACATAACAAACAACTACCTGGATTCCCATCCAATGAAGGGTCGGCCTTGGTGCCTTAGACCCTGTCGATATAGTGAGGATAACTCACCTGCAACTGCCGGCTTGAAGAAATAAGACCACGCTTCTCGGACCACCATCACGAACTCCACCACTGATCATTACTAGTTAACCAAAACTAATAAATACCAATAATTACTAAAATACCCTTGGAAGTCAAACTTGTCAACCCTTGGTCCAAGTCACAGTCCTTTGTTAAAGTCAACCTTCCTGTTTGACCCTACTCGCCGAGTCAACCCATCGAATCGTCGAGTTCCTTCACTCAGAGATTCCCAAAATGCGACTCAACTCGGCGAGTCGCCCCAAGACTCGTCTAGTCCAAAAATCTCAAAGGCCCATCCTGATTAACTCACCGAGTCGTCCCTCGACTCACCGATTCGAGGCTTAACCAGAAAAGGTTAGGGTTCCACAACCAGACTTGCCGAGTCCAAGAACAGACTCGCGGAGTCCAAGGAAATCTTCAACAGACTCGCCGAGTTGTTCTTCAAACTCGTCGAGTTCCTGCACATCTTTATACAACTCGCCGACTCTACCCATGTGACTCACCGAGTTACCATGCGACTTAAGTCTAATATCTAGCCCGACTCGCCGAGTCATCTCCTAGACTCGCCGATTCCATACGTAATGTCTTTATTCAGATGATTTCAGGCCATTTCATTGCTTCTAATACATAGATCTGGACTCCTTGGGCCAGATTCACACGTAAACTTTCCAACTTTACATGCATGCAAGGCTCAACAAGCTCCAATCAAGCTATAAGGAGGTTTTTGGGACAAATATTCTCTAAATCAAACCCCATGGTTGATGCTTTAAGCTTTCATAGCTCACTATTGACCTAGATCTGAAGTTGCAACTTCAGATCTAACCTCTAAACCCGAAATGGGTTCCAATCAAGCTAAAATTCCCAAAACAACAACCAATAATGGATCTAGAAGGAGAAAACTCAAGGTAACGACTTGTTACCTCAAAAATCTTCCCAAGAAGGAGTAGATTTCGGATCTACAACAATCTCCCGATGCTAGCCTCTTGATCTTTTAACTTTCTCCTCTTAAATTCTTCTTCCAAGCTCAAAATTTAACAATGGAGGCTCACACACACACTAATTAGGGTTTCTGGGACTTAAATGGGCAGTAAAGAGGCTGAGGGTGACTATAATGTGTTTTATATAGGTTACAACTTCCAGGATTAGGGTTTTCTCCCTTCAAAACCAACTCGTCGAGTCCATCTGCCGACTCGGTAAGTTGGCCACTTAACCCATAAAAAATCCCGCTCAGACTCGGCGAGTAAGAGGACCTACTCGTCGAGCCTGTGACTTAATTTACACTCTACTCCCTGGAACTCTTTCTTCTAACTTGAGATGTTACAATTCTCCCGCACTTAAATTAGGCTTCGTCCTCGAAGCCTGATGCAACACAAAATTCCAAAATAATAATCCCACAATGCAACTTCGGATCTCAACTGATTCAGATTCTTCCAAACACTACCATCAAATCTCATAGAATCCAACTCTTTCTTTGTAGAGTTCTGACAATTGCTCCAAATTGGCTACCGACTTTCTCCTACTGATAACAACACTTATCAACTTAGGGTCACCCAGAGGACACATTCTTATTTCTGAATTTGCCCACTCATTCGCCTCGTGCGAAACTAGAGATCATTACAAACCACCGGTCCTGACCCGGTACCAATCCGTCACCCCCTTGCCCAAACCGGCACTACTTCTATTGAATTGCACTGTTAGGAACTCATCCTGATTTCTTCTTAAAATGACTCTTTCTTTCCATGCTAACAGGATGCACTACTAGAAAAACAGCCTTTTACGACACTCATTGCGCGTCATAAAAGGCTCAGACAACGCGCAAATGCTCGTCAAGGAAGGCCCTGTCATAAAGAGAGACGACGCGCATTTACGACGCTCATTTACGACGCGCAATGACGATGCTCCTTTAAGACATGCAATGCATATCAAGGAAGGCCATGTCATAAAGGAAGACGACACGCATTTGTGTGTCGTAACCTTATGACACGCGTGTTAATGACACGCAATGCGTATCAAGAAAGTCCCTGTCAAGAAAGGCCATGTCATAAATGAAGATGACACACATTTTTGTGTATCATAATTTTAAATGTTTAAAAAAATATTATTTATAGATTTACTAATTTTCAAATTAAATAATACATTAAAAATCTCATATACAAAATAAAATACCATAAATAACAAATATAATTCATTTCACTAATATGTCAAATACAAATAATTATTCCAAAAGTGAATAAATGTTATAAAAAAATGAACTCATTTATATACAATTGCATCATCTAGCTTACTATGTGCCAACAACTCTCTGTGTGTTTACTTTTTCTTGAATCTCGTTTCCTCCAAAGCTTCTAGCCATGCCAAAATATGATATCTTGAGTCTCGTTTCAAGAACCAAAATCACCTTCAATCACCCAATTAAACTCTAATGTTGGTAGACTTAGAGTTCCAGAATCAAGTTTACATCCATCACCTTCAATCACCCAATTAAACTCTAGATCTTCTGTTGTTTGAAAGAAATTGGTGTTTCTAATCTATGAACAAAAAACGCAAAGACCAAGGTTAACATTTGGTGAACAAAATTTTAATTGGTTGATAGCAATACTTGACCTCTGAAAACAAATAAACAAAGGATCGCATCATCCTTAGCTCAACGGTTTAAGCTACCAAATTACCTTTGAGAACCAGCAGGTGAAAACACTATGTGACCGGCTGCTCTTGTTGTTCATATCTGTTCCTGCCACTTTTATATTTGCAGCACCCTGATAAAGCATGAAAAGTAATTTTAAATCCAATATAATCATAAATAAGAAGTAACAAAGTGTAAAGGGGACCGATTGTACAATGTTATTAAGAGGTTTTCCCTAACTATATATAACCTAAAATGTGTTATATTGTTATATTTATCTTACATAGTCCATGATTCCTATTGAATAACTTGACTTGTTATTGTATTAGTAAATTTATCACTCATTATAGCTTCCAAAACTTAGAATTTGCAAAGTTGTATTTTTGTGTATATCAAATACGTAAGAAACTATATCATTATTTATAACTATATGCAGTAAAAACCATCATCTAATAGGCAACATTGAACATAAATATATTACCAAAAGGAGGGCCCTTAGTGCAGCAGCAAAGGCATGGTTAACTAATCCAGACTTGAACTGTTATCTTGATTCCACAAATTGATTGATAATCAAATAGCTCTTGCATAAAGGGAATATTCTTTTCGATGATTCCTGCATTTTCTTGCAACATTTATTTCCCAAAAGTGAAAAGAGTTCCATAAAGTTGTAGATACATACATATGTGCATCTATGTATGTATAATTATATATGTGAAGATTCTTAACCTGGAGTGCCAAATCCATAGATCCGTCAACATTGAAGATAATAGAGTTATCATTCCCTCCAACTCTATTGATAGAAATATATGGTCCCTCAATTCCAACTAAAGCAGATACAAGATCATCAATTACAATCAGTTCCTGCATGTGTTGAAACATTATCACAAAATCTTCACTTATCATTACTTTAAAATGATATTCTATAGTAACTTGTTTCTAGGTTTCAAAATTGAAACTAGTTTAAAAGGCCAATAATTGCACAAGGAAGCATAAAAACAATTGTAGCTATACCTGAACAGAAGCATTGTAGCAACCTATCGGCTTCTCAGATTCCAATCTATACAAAACATACCACCAGACCTGGAAGGCTGCCCTGGCACATAAGCACTGATTGAAATGAAATCTTTTTGTCCAACACATTCATACACATTGATTATTGGATACCTGTTGATAAGATTAAGAGGAGAAAAGTTTTACTTGCCTCTTCACGTGCATACTGATCTGCCTAAGAGGTAGAGGAAGGGTCTGCATTATATTGATGTTGATATTCATTTTCCCAATCCCCATTTGCATGCCTGGTCTCGTTATTATTTGCCAAACCAAATAAATAATATCTTGATTATAAAAAATTAAATAAAAAAAAGACATTTTTAATTCAAAGTAAGTAAAGTAACCTGAAACTTTGGATTGGTGTTCTGAGCTAAAGTGTGTGCTAGCATTCGAGTCTGCTCCATAGCAGCCAAAGATGGAAGGTTTGCACCTGCCATTCGGTCCACAAATGTCATCTGCATTTTTTCTCCTGAAATTAAGAACATAATAATTAATAGTAAGTAAACATTCAATTATTATTTTAATTATTAAAGTGAAAGAGCTCACTGACATGCTAGAATTCAGATGCCCACATGAATCCTTTCCCAATTTTCTTCAACTGATTTATAGATGGGAACCTCATGATTGTGTGGACAAAGAGCTATCACTACAGGCATGAGGCAACAAAGTCACTATTACAATCCTGCATAATATGTGTGAGTAGAGAATAAAAGAAAAACATGTTGCAAGCTGGCCATGTTATCATAGAAGTCTGATTACCAGGATGTTATGGTTTTTCAGGTATTTTTTTATTTAAAATAATTAACTTACAGAAAGAGATGAATGTGAATATGAATAAATATTAGTATTCGTGTTCTGTTTGTTAGTTTCAGTCTACAACATATGTATACCTTTTGTGCTTCACTATCCACCCAGGCAAATGTGAGTCTGTTTTCCTTCAATGATGACATGGCAGCTTGGTGTTGGTCAATTTGATTTACATTTTCACCATCTGATAGTATATCTTGGACCCTACGCATGGCTTTAACAATATAATATATACAATATTATTCTTTAAAGAAAAGAAATAAAAGACTATTGTTTTATGAATTAAGATAAGAATCTTACTTAACGCATTTTAGGGAGTCTGTGCTTTGTCTTCCAATAAGAACAGCAAAATACCAAACTGTGGTGTTATTTCCAGCATGTGAATAGCATCTTGGATCACAACCAAGCTCCATAGATGTAACACGTCTTAATTGGGGAAGCACTACTTAAAAAATAAATAATTAAATATCATATTAGGTGTGAAAAATGACAAAAATGATTTATGCATCTTCATGTTTATTTTGTTCCATGACATCAATAAGTCTTGAATTGTTGATTGAGCCATGGTAGACTACAGGTTTGACGTCGGGGTCTCTTAGAATAACAATGATAGGAGCTTCTTCCACACCAAATCTGAAATTATTATTATATATAATTTAAATTAATCACTAATTTAAACCATTTTTAAGGAGAGAGTTTATGGAAATTACCAAAGTGTCCCTAGAGTAGTAGAAATACAAGGTAAGCTTAGTACGGTTGTTGCAAACCAACCAGTAACAACATCAACAGACAACTCTCCGGTGTACCTAGAATATTGCAAAAGTATAATCTAAACGATTACTTGGAAGATTAATTATTTATTTTTATTTTTTAATAACAATAATATTATTATTAACTTATTATTATTATCCGCATAAAGTAAACTCACCTCACAATGCAGTCTGAGGATTTACAGCCAGGTGGAAGAGCCAAAAGTGAAGGAACACCTGTATCGTATCAATAACTTGGAGAATGATTAAATCATCCAATATTTTAATAAAAAAATAACTTGGGTATTATTATTTAATTATTACCAACCATTTCGATAGAAAGGGGCTCCTGTATAGTTTTTCTTAGATAAATATGTCGCAAGCTTAAGATCACTAAAAATATTATTAAACTTGAAGTTTAGAAGTTTACAACCAAAACATGAAAACAAAAAGAATTGAAGAGAAAAAAATGATGATTTATGATTCAAAGTTGCAGACATGCATGTATATCTTGATTATTTCACTACAACACTGCAAGTCAACTGATATATTGACTAAAGATAGTCCAATCTCATTAGAGCAGATTCTTGTCTCTTCCAATCAAATCTTTGAGCTAGGGTTCTTTAGTCCAGGTAGTTCCAGTAACCTGTATCTTGGTATATGTTTCAAAAACGTCACTCCAAAAAAATTTATATGGATTGCAATCAGAAAAAATCCACTCTCAGTTTTTGACACTAATTCGACCCTAACAATTGACAACAATGGGAACCTCATCAGCATTTCCATTATATAAATTAACAAATTGTTAAGAAAACAAATGGCTCAAAAAGTTAAAAAAATCACTTTTTTAAATTACCCATATCAGTTTTGTCTCATTGGCCAATTCCCAATCCTAGTAATTTTCAGTTTTTGTTTTCTTCTTCTTCTCACCCTGGAAAACAAGCATTACTTTTTTTATACATAAATCATACAAAAGCACTGTAATTTGATGATCAACACTTTTCATTCTATCTGTGTATCTGAAAGACATTATAATCCCATGAGTTTTAAATATCATAATATATGAAAAAACAAATGCATAAGTTATAATACAGAATAAGAGTATAAGACAAACTATTTTTGACTTAATCCATAAAGAAGTTAATACAGAAAGTCAGGAAAATAAGGCTTTCCCTACTAAGTCCAACTTCTTAGTTCTTACAAATTTGCCCTGATTCAATTGTTCTGTTTTTGAGAAAAAATAAGTTTATTAAATGTTACTGAGTTAATAACTGCATTGCAATAAATTATGGTTTATATACCTATATATGAGCCGAAGAAAGCAATGACCAGCTGCACCATTTGCACCTAGAGAGAAAAAAGGAACCTGAAGCTCAACATCGATGTGATCAGCTCCTAGCTCCATTGCTAAACACAGAGCATCCAATCAACTCTTTTCATCCTTATTGTATTGACCACCTTCCCATGTTGTTCTAGAAAATAACATAGAATTAGAAACCTTTTGAGGAAGATAAACTATTAGAAGATCATTTAAGATGAAGGCTATTCTTATGATCTATGATAGAAAAAAAAAGAATTGCCTTTATCTTGAAGAAAGGTTCCAACTTGTGTTTGAATGCTACCTACTATAGAAAACAAGTGTCTTTTGGAATGAACTAGCGTTTCCTGCTCAAACAGACAAACAAAATTACATCAGATTAGCCCTATAAACATCATACATACACATATACTTGCTAGAGTACTTGTGTCTCTAGATTGAATATATACTCATCTCCAAAATAGTTGACTGCAGGTGGTAATTCTGAATTTGAATCCTTACAACATGGGATGAATTAGTGACTTAAATTCTGGCTTCCAACATCTACAACTTGAAAAGAAATCTGAGAAGAATCACAAGTAATTATAATGGAATGGGCAGAAGGTCTTCTTTAGCACAATACACCTAGTGAGGGATTTCCTTTTGTTCTTTAAGACACACAATACACCCGGTGAAGCTCTTCTTTAGCACCAGCATCACTTGTCCCCATAAACTACCACTTGCTTCTTCTTGAACGTGATTGAGCAGCTTGCTAAACTGCAACTTCCATTTGCTTAATTTTCCCATGTAATGACCACATTGCTAAATCCCCTACACAACAAACCAAACAAAACAAAAATCAACATCAAATATTAATTAGCAAAAACAAAAACAAAAAAAGTCAAAAATACCCTTTAGGTTAGCAAGAGAGGTTGTCATTCCAAAAACAGATGGAGAAGAAGAGAACAGTTTGCGTACCTGATTTAGGGAATAAAAGAATCTTTAAAAATTGAATGTAAGAGAAAGAAATCTAGGGCGCATACATTAAGAAGAAGATAATAACTTTCGAACCTGATGCCTCCTCCGTTTTTGTTTTCCGCATTCTGATGCTTCCGATCGTACCTTGAACCTCTGACTTTCGATCCCAAATCTGACTTGCAACCTTCGATTTCTGATCTTCAACCTGTAATTCGAGTCATAGTTCCAAATCTCATAAAATTAACCTTGCTACCTCCTATTTCTGATGAAAGAGGAGTCTCAAATCTGAGAGAAAAATGAGGAGTCGCTGGCTCAAATTAGAAACCCTAAAAGATGGATGACATAGGGAAAATCAGAAAGGTATGAACATACCATTCGATAACCAGAAAATGGACTGAGATGAGGGGGTTGTTAGCGCTAGAAACTAGCTTCCAATCTCCTTTATCAACATCATATCGATAAAGATCGCCAAAAACATATGTCTGTGTAATATATCAACCTTTTTCAAAGTAAATTCAAGCATAATTTCAGAGAAGGTCACACGAATTCATCTATAAGACATAATGTCCAATTGTTGATATCTTCCATCCCTAAAGTCACCGGCATGGAGTCTTTTTTCTTTGGAACCATCGTCGTTGCCTCATAACTTCGGAGATGGCGTACCTACTGTTTCCTTGATCGACGTCGACGACAGGGAATGGTACCTAACGATGGTCGAAGTGTGAGGGAAGAAGAAGGTGGCAGTCAATGTCGGGAGGGGGAAGGAACGAGTCGATAATTAGGGCAAGAAGGAAAGAAGAAAAAAGGATGGCGGGGTTTTTTATTTTTTTAGGATTTCATTTCCCCCTAGTTGTTAAAGGATGGAACGCGCCTTGTATTAAAATTTATAAAGCGACACTCTTAGACGACACACGTTTTATTATAGGTGCCCTCCGTGGTTTTTTTATTTAGACACTAATTTAAGGGCACGTAGTAATGCGCGACATAAATCCTTTAATTTTTTGAAGAGATGACAATTTTTTAATGTCACTCTCTTTTGCGTAACATAAATCAATGAGTGTCGTGGTTTGCACGTCGTAAAAGGGTATTTTTCTTGTAGTGATGATAAATCCTACAACTCTTGAGCAACTCCTATGAGCTCCCATCTACAAACATATACATATATTGAACCTGATCCAACATCCTCGGACTGGAAAGACGCAACACACTGACGATACCTCCAGACATCCCCCATATGAAATACCACTACATACATAACCTCCTAATCACAACCCTAATGAAAATCCAAGACTCCATCCTTGCATCCCTTCCGAACTCCTCCGGTTCTACACCACCGGAAATTCTTCCGCACCTCAACAGACACCCAATCTGGATGTGCTTCCATACCACTGGCACAATCACAGTGCTCAAAAACCATGATTGAAATACTCTCAATCATCCATTCTCACTTCTGTTTCCACTTCCGTGAACCAACACTCCCTCTCGGAGTTACATACCTTTCCCTCTCCTTATCCAAGGAAGTCTACTTGAACATCTCGTTACTTCGACAAGTGCCACGGTGCTCACACCCCACTCTACACTATTCCCTCGTAGAGTAGGCATTATTCCATGCATCACACACTCTCTGAATCTGCTCGCAAGGACTCTCGGGTCCATGCACTACCTTCCACTAACATGATCAATAATCGGGGCCAGACCTACTGTTTGCTATTGCATCACAATATACTCAATTCATATCCTCATATAGATCTATCAACACATACAAAGTCTTCAGCATGATTGGACCGCCTTAACAGACATTCAGCCAATCTAGACCACTCTTAGAACCTTCAGCATGTCTGGACCGCCCTCCAGGGCCTTTAGCCTGTCTGGACCATTCTCCGAGCCTTCAGCCTGACTGGTACACCCACCGGCCTTCAGTCTCCCCGTACCGCTCAGACTATCATACATCATCCCAAACTATCCTTCCTCAGGATCTCTCCCGTACATACTGTTCTAGCCCTATAGGGGTTCCGAACTTTAACTCCATTTCATCTACTAAGATCCCGACCTAATCCTAGGCCTCATAACAACCAATCACCTTTTCCAAAAACCTTGGTTTGTATCCCGCCCCATATGTCTGTCACTTACTCATACCAGACCACACTCTTGGCTGAATGAAACACTACTGAATCCCAAACAGCTAACCAACCTCTAATGCTTGTCGATCCTCCTGAGAATTTTCCAATTCTCCCCACTTAGAGCACTGACTACGAACCACCGGTGACCCAACTAACATTACTTAAATAACCCTACTCAACATGTTTCCCTTATCCATGAAATGATTTCCTCTAAAACAAGCAACCTTCATGAAATCAAATCCCGACATTAAGACCAAAAAACCTAATTCCCCACCAATAATCCCCATGGATGATAACCAACTAAGACTCCCAATACCAAAACACTCGATCATACGATAAACCCGACGAAAGGATGAAAGAATACAATACCATGAATCATGCGAACGACACTAGCAAATATACAATACTCCATAATAACCACAAGATAACAAGATAAAAAAAATGGAAACATACCCGCAACTGCATCTTGCTCTTCCCTGACCTCCTCAACAGTAAGCTAAAAAGCTCGACCCTGAGCCCTCGGAGGCTCCGCTCCACCCTGGCCCCCGCCAGTAGTCCTAAAATTGGTTGGTGCTGGAACCTGCACCGGTCTAGAGACAAGATGTGGACAGTTGGCCCTCAAGTGACCAACCTGATGGCAATGATAACAAATCCTCAAATCTTGAATCGTAGCTGACTGACAGTAATCCCTCGCGTAATGCTCCTCTCTCTCACACTTGCGACAGGCACCACCGAACCTACAAACTCTAGTAAGAATATTCCCACACTTCTCACAAGTGTGGCTACCCTAACCTCCTAACCTAGAATCAAAGGTCTTGGACCATGTCGGTGCCGGCTGCGATTGCACCGGGCCCTGCCTCTGCTCTCACAACTGTAACTCAATCTCCAACTCACACCGCCGAGTGGCCTCCTGCAACTCCAAAAAAGTCTCGCACCTCTGCATAGACACGAACTGTCTAATATCCTTCTTGAGCATACTCAGATATTGGGACATCTAACCCTGCTCTGAAGCAAACTCAGGGCAAAACATCACCCTCTCAGTGATCATCCTGGTGATCTCCGTCACTGACTCTGAATCCTGCTTCAGCTCCAAGAACTCCTGAGCCAACCTTTCTCTCTCAACTCACGGAACCTAACAGGTACTGAACATCTCCTGAAACTAATCCCAAGAAATCTCAGCCCGCTATGCATTCAAATAAGATCACGTGGTCCACGTCCACCAATCCTTCGCACCGAGCCTCAAAAGGTTCAGAGCACACCTCACCCTCTAATCCGTAGGGCATGAACACGTGAAGAAACAGCCCTGCACATCTGAAAACCATCTCATAGCAACGATCGGATTCTAAACTCCATCGAAAGTAGGGGGCTTCATATTATCGAAGTCCCGATATTGAAAACCTCGGCCGGTTCCTCCCCCTGCCGCTGGTACAGCCGCTGTAGCTGCGACGGCAGCCGCCTCCGCAAGAGCTGCATAGCGCTCATCAAAGTACTCAACCATGGCTATCTTGATCAACCCAAACATTTTCGGCAACTCGGCCCGGAACATAGCAACAACCTCATCATGCAGGATTTCACGAATCCTAGCATCCAACTCATCCGTACTCATCTGACCAATGAGCTCGGGTAGTACTGGTCCATCATGACCACCCTCTCCTGATCCCAATCCCGAACCAGATCCTGCCCCGAGACGTCTCGTAATCGCCATACTAAAATACACCACAAGAATATTAGGCATTCCTCATAATAATCCGGAGAACTAGCTTCCAACAAAACCCTAGGGGTTGTGACTTCCTTGATACGCGTATGGGTCCTGTGCTTTCAGTAATACGGGCCCATACTACCTTCCACACCTACCCATATTTATATCAAGTATCACCACAACACCCTAACGATAAACATATACATGGCAGCACTCAATCCTCACCTCTAGAGGAACTGCTAACTACCTCACATAACACAGAACCCTAGGCTAGCAGGTATCATATAATCAGGCAACTCCTGAAGATCCCT